AGAGAGAGAGAGAGAGAGAGAGAGAGAGAGGAGGGGGAGAGGAGGAGGGAGGGAGGCTGTGTCAGGATTTTGCCTGAATGTGGGATTATGTTGTGTCAATAAGTTTAAGGTGGAGAGAGCGAGGCTGGGGGGGTGGTGGCGGTGGAGGGGAGGAGGAAGGCCTTGGCTGTTGGAAAGACTCGCTCGGAAGGTAAGTTGTGGCGTTGCGTGGTCGCGATGACAGAAAACTTGCAGATCCTTGATCCGGGGATGGGGTCGATGCCTCCGGCCAGGGCTCCCCAACCCGCGGGAGCCACGCTCGTGGTGCACTGTTATTTGCTGCGATCCGGGTCGCGAGTGAAATTACAGAAATCAAGACTGGAGGCTGCTTTTCTTCCTCCACCTCGTCTCGCTCGCTCACCCTCAGCAACGTATTAGTATTGTTGTTGTTATTATTTATTTATTTATTATTATTTTTTTTTCTCCTGGCGGGGGTGGTGGTGGGGGGAGGATATCGCGTGAAACTTGTAACTGAGACCGAACCCGAGTCCTGTAATAATTTACCAGGACCCTGAATCCAGGAATCTGGAACACGTTTGTTGTGTGTGAAATACCCGCGATCATTTCTGCTAAATGAGGAAGGTAAAACGAAACGATGCAAAAACCTAAGACACAACATGTACGACAGAGGGGAGGGTGGGGGGGGGGAGAGGGAGAGACACCGAGACAAGCTATTTTTTGCTTTCCTTTCTGTCGAGAGGAAAATAAAGCGTGCATTGCCCTTCCTTCCCAGGGTGTAGGGTCTAGTCAATATTTTAACTGTCTGAGGACAAATGAGCCCAGGTGGATCTTGTTGAAAAGTTTCGTGAGGTGGTGGGGTGGGAGGTGAGGGGGGGGGGGGACACGAGGGGGGGGGAGGTGGGTGGAGGTGGTGGGGGATGGGGACCGAGCTAGCTCTGCCTCGGCTAATGGTCATTGGCCTGGGGCTTTGAAACCATTGCCTGTCCTCCTAATGACACGTCCAGTTCTCGTCTACCGGCCGTGGACGCCGGGCTGCCGTTCCTGGGGCTGGCTGGCTGGCGGGGACTGGGGTACTTTCCCTGCACGGGGAGGGGCGCTCTCGGCCATCCCTTGGGGGGGGGGCTGCCCACTCGCGGCGTGGGTTCCCCCACGCGCGTCCTCCCTCCCTCCCTCTCTCTCTCTCTCTCTCTCCTGCGCGCCGCCGCCGCCGCCGCCACCTCTGCTCGCGC